TGCCAATTTGACCTAGGTAGAGGGGATTCCCCTTTTTTGGTAGGAGGCTTTGATAAGTTGGATTCCTTGACCAATTAAATCACCTACCTAGGGAAAATTAGGGAAAATCTCAAACTTCGATTTAGCACTTTAACTTGGGTGTTACTTTTGCCATCCGAATTAAGTTCTGAGGGATTGATTCTTGCAATCCTTAGTTTTATCGGTTAAGGTTCCTAGTTTAATTGTTAATCCATTGATTGATTGATAGAGCTAAGGTTCCTAGTTTAATTGTTTTCCTTGACCGATTGATTAAGAGAGTGAGGCTTCCTTCACTTGTTGCGCCTTCCTACGGTGTATTAACACACATCCACACATTTGCATTCGATTTGGGAGATCTTGATATGTAGCTAGGGGGAGCAATACCCGGGTGAACTCTTCTCTCATTGGGACAACCTCGATTTACTTTACTTGCTTGTTTTCATTCTTAGTTTTCTTAGTTTTAAACCCGAAAAAGTTTGCTAGATAACAAACTAAGTGATTGAAGTAGGGGTACATGGACCAGTCTGGCTAGAGTTTATGCTTGAGCTCCAGTCGGGATTTAATTCGCGGTGTGTCCGTGGCGAGTCAGTGGGCCAGTAGAATCACTAAACAAGTTATATTAGTGGTTCGATTCATTCGATTGAACGACTAGCGATGGACCAAACGGGATTGTACAGTTTGACATGAAATCGGATGAACCACCTCGGTTTGACTGCCTGCTGGTTCACTATTTTAACCACAAAAAAGTAAGAGGAAAAAAAAAATACTTTAACGTAAACTAAGATCATCCAACCTCAATTGCTAATTTTATTTATGCTTCATTTTCTTCATAACTCAGCCTCCTTGGTGGCTTTATGTGGGGGACTAATTGGGTAGCAAATCCTATTCCTTCAATGGTCAATATTCTCGGCGAAGTGGTCCAATTGAAGCAGATTTACTGGCATTTCTTTCGTCAAAGCTGAAAAAGGGAATTGCTACTCTGATTACTAACTTGAATTTTTTTTCAAACTACGATTTCTTTTGTGAGAGACTTAGAATGTCTTATTAGAACATATGATATGGATTTGAAATTGCTTATGGTTAGTGATAAATTCACTCATAAATTGATGTATTATGTATGTCTTTTATGTTATAGCGCATGAACTGTTCTATCAATGGTTAACCGTTGAACCATCAACCACTAACTTTTCCGGTATAGCCAAAACTTTTGCGTTTGTGACAATAATAGCCACTTTTTAAGAAATACACAAAATAGCTAAAATTTTATAATTTTCTTGACAGATATAGTCATTTCAGTTACATAGTTTAACGGTGGTAGAAACTCCATAAGTTAAGTTAACGTTAGGCTAACTAGGATGCCAAATCATCGCTCACGTCAACGACAAATCAATATCATTGCCACATAATTTTTATTTATAAAGATAATTTATTTTGAAAGTAAAAGGTTTAATACACTCGCATAGTCATAACTATTCGCTTTATGACAATAATAGCCAAATTTTGAAAAATACACAGATATAACCACTCTTTTAAAACTAGCTTGACGATTATAACCATTTCCGTTACAAATTTTAAGACCGTTAACTCTTTGCTGATGTGGACGTACAGGTCATCAAATGTGGACTCCAAGTCACATATGAGTCACCAATTACATGCCACATCAGCCACCTAGTGAAATTATTATTGCAAAAATCATTTCATTTTGTTTTTTTTTTCCTCAATTCTTCTTTCTTCTTCCCTGGGTTAATAGAAGACTCCCCAAATATGAAATTGTTTTCGTCTATAAGAAATCCAAGAAGCAGATGAAGGAGGCTACGAACCCTCACCACTACTTGCAGCGCCGAACTCCCCCATCGTCGGCGGTGGTCACGGCTGTGCCTGCTGCATCGAGGACGACACCGCTGGGGAGGGCCTCATGGGAAGGGGACAGAGGACTTTCATCGATAGAGGCGGCGGCGAGCCGGGAAGCGTAGTCGCAGCATTGGAGTCGGCGCTGGGTTTACGACCTGTTGGTGATGCCGATTCTAGGTTTAGGGTAGATGGGTGTGATTCGTGCAATCTAGTTTGAGCTCAAGTGTCATCTACGCCGATTCAGTCGCAGTAGCTACATACCCAGCGTCGATCCAAGACAAAGAGCTCATGGATTCCTACCTTGACGTGGTCCCCCTGCTCTTTCTCTACTTCTTCCTTCTCTCCTTATTTGGGATTTTTAGGGTTCATAGGATTTTTTGGATCAACATAGTGGCTGGAAGAGATGGAGGTTATGCATTGAAGGATTCCCAATTTGCTTGCATAAAGCTTGTGGGTTCCATAACATCCCTATGCAACACTGATTCTTTGTTCATTGAGATTCCAGATTCGTCTTTTCTAGGTTTTATGGGAAAACTGGGTTCTTTCTTGGATCTGATTGTGGGTTTGAGATAAAAGCATATCAATAAAATAGGGGAAGCAAGGTTCCAGTCAGATGGAGGAGTTGTTCGGAGGACAGGTCCGTCGATTGGGAGGGGTTTGCTCATCGTCGATCGGGAGGAGTCCTTCAATCGGGAATAATGAGGGATTCGTCGTAAAGGAGATGGGTAGGTGATCAGATGAACAAAAAGAGAGAGTTGAAGGAGTTGCTTTTTCATTTCCTTTCTTTGTTTTATTAATTTTTAGTTTTTTTTGTTTTTGTATTATTCTTTTTTATTTTTTTTAGTTAATTATAATAAAAATAAAACATTTCCAACATGGTAAAGTAAGATGAAGAGTCGCCACATTAGCAAAAACTGTTAGTCCAGTCAACATTTTTAATGGTGCCGTTAAAGTTATTAACGGAATGGCTATATCTGTGTATTTTTCAAAATTTGGTTATTATTATCACAACGCGAATAGTTATGGCTATGCGAGTGTATTAAACCAAAAAAACATAAAATATTTTTTTTCTAATTTTCCCCTATTCTCGACTAGTCGTCTCCATACTGGGAATCTGGCGGCAGCGCCGAGCAACGCTCAGTCACCATCTACTACGGTTTCCCCCGACTTTGCCAACTCTAAAATCTCCGCCCTCTCGACTTTTGCTTCTACGTCCAACCTCTTCCCCTTCTCATTCGCCAGAAGAGGAAGGATTTGATGAAGAGTTTTGTCTCCATTTCTGTTTTTTTGTTATATTTTTTCATATTATTAATTATAATAAAAAGATAAAATATTTTTATTTGCATATTTTGTCAGAAAGGTGACACATCAGCAACAAACGTCAGTTCAATCAATATCAGTTAGGGGTGGCCATACGGTCCATTCTGGTTAAATTGACCCGAATTGATCCGGTTCTAATCCTGCCTTTTCGGGAATATAAGGACCAAAGATTGGATTAGATACAGTCCGGTCTTGACCCGATCCGCTCCCAATTCGGTCTTGATTTTAGATTGAGCTTGTGGGGATTTGAGTGGTCTGAGGACTCAAAGGGTGATGAGTTAGTTAAGTTTTGGGTGTTGGGCTTTCTTATCCGGTCTTTATCCGGTTTTTGATCCGGTCCCAAACGATTTTTTACCTCAAATCTAAACTCGAAAATTAGATTGAATGATTTCTATCCGGTTCTGGTCCGGTCTCGATCAGTGTTATACGATCCGGTTTCGAATAAAACTAATAGCCCGGACCAAATAGCCAGTGCTAAAATCAGTTATAACAATGTTAAAGTTTTGGATGAAATTAGATATTTTGTATATTTTTTAAAAGTAACTATTATTATTCGAAAGTTATGACGAAATTGTATTTTGTCTCATTTTTGCTATATTTCTCTAAATTCGGTTTTCTCCTCCTGCTAAAAGCTGAAAACTCTAAAACCCTAGCAGCAGTTCCGAGCGACCTCTACTCTACCCTTCTCTGCTACTTTCGCTTCTCGATCCTCATCATCAATGGCGAATTCAGTGGTTTCTCTCGACAACCTCAAAGCCTTCTGGCACTCTCAAGTTCATGACGAGCAGAACTGGGATGTCAACATGGTACCAACTCCCTCCTTTTCTTCCTTTCCCTGTTATTTTATCCCGTTCAACTTTATATCCGTGATTTCAATTTTCTTTCGTGTCACCGTCTGTCGTCTAGGGAGTAATTGGGATTCGTTTGTCATCCCAATCCGAGTAATTTGCTTCATTATTTGCCTCATTCAATCTGGTATTGGGTTTATTTTTCTCCGCTCTGCCGCGCCTTATCCGTGCTCTCCTTCCCTCTGCATTATTCTCGAGAGTTCGCGTTGGAATTGCTGGGTGTTGAATAGTTTTTTCTTAGTCTGAGTGCACAATGAATTGATTAAATTGTTTGTTATCATTGGCTCTGCTGCCATTCGGGTTCAGGCGGTTGAAACGATGGGTGGGGATATGCGGAATGGTGTGAATGCATCCTTCTGAACTTGTTGCAGTGATTTCGATTTTTGGCTAAAATAAAGTTATGAGTTTCTTGTTGAAGTTGTTGGAGTGATGCTGAAATTTGTAGATGGGTCAAGAAGAGGGTTAGAGGAGAGATAGATCACATAGTGAAGGGAGTTTTTGTGACTGAGTGTCCTTGCTTAACCTGATGTAATCTTGAAGATGTGAATGTACTCACTCTATATTTATCCTATTGGTGTCATGTGATACTGAATCCAAAACACAATCCCAAATACTTGTTGGAGTTTTGTTGTGTAGACTTGGATGAATTGTTCATGGGTTCCAATCTCAAGTGAAAGTAATTTGGGAAGAACTTTAGTTACTGCCAGGTTCTAGTTCCGCAAATAGCTTGACATTAGGCGCATAGGCTAAACCCAGTAGATTCCTTATTCCAAGAAATATGTGTGGGGCGAGTGAAATTGGTTATGTATGTTGTTACTGCTCTAAAATTGTGTGGTGTTTAGTTAGATTCCATTAACTTAGGCTAAAATTGGGGAATTCGATGCGTTGGATAACCTTCCACTGCAATGAGTTGTCAAATGATAATGAATTTGATCTCTCTTCTTGATCTGACTCGATCTACTTAGTTATATGTCAAGTTTATTGTCTCAATTTGCAAGCTGAATAAGAATGTTAAGATGGACGAAGAACACGTTTAATGATTTATTTGACATAATAGATGTGTATTGGCCGAGTTCTTTATTTTCTTAGGCGTCTGAAGAGTGTTTCTTTCTTGTTCTTGTTCTTGTTCTTGTTGTCGTTGTTGTTGTGTTATCTATTGCTCATAGAAGTCGTACTTTGGAAATAGGATTTGTTGGGTAAATATATTCAAGGGAACATTTTGCTGCAGTGGTTGGTGAGGTTCCATATTCCCATTTTAGGTGCCAAGACCATGCTTTTGCCTACCTCACCCTCCTGATTTAATGTTGGAGATGGGAAGATCAGTGCGTGAACGGAAATTTGAATCTTAAAGAGTCAGAAATTATATTTCAAGTTACAAAATGGTTATATTTCAATCAAAAGGGCAGGATATTTTGTAGTATACGCCCCTCTGAGAAAGCTTCTTGGAGGAGTTCTTTTATGAAGCTTATAGAGGTGCTTTCAGAGCCCAAATAAATGAACTGCTAAACTTGATTCTTGCATGGATAGGGACTATAGTGATAAAAAGCTCCTGTGTTGGTCATTCATTTGATACCGGGAATGCCATTTTACACAAGTTGAACAGCTTAAACAAGCCTTACCAAGTTCAAAACCTCCAATTCTTGACCAATTAAGTTATTCCAGATGCAATTTATGCTTCATGTACTTTCCAATCAGTCTTATAACTGTGCCTTTTTTGGTGACCTCGTACTTGATTTTGCTTTTCATAATCCGTGTGTTTGAGCTCCAACCATGGTTGACCTATGCCTTGATATGCTCCTCGCTACTATTATGTTTAACGTACCCTTCCTGATGTGCAGAAACTGGTACGAGCTCTTGGAGTGTTTGCTGGATCCATTTTCCTCATGCGAAATTTTGGTGAGCTCATGGCAGCATGATGCCGAAGAATAAAGTGCTTCCTTCTGAGCTCATTATTCCACCACCCACTTTCACTGTGACTGTATGCTGTTGAGTTTGAAACTCTTAGGTGTTATGTGGAGATCGGTTACTATACTAGGATAGCCTACTAGTGTGGGGAACTGGTTTTTACGAATGAACGAGGCTTTAATTCTCTTGTACTTGGTTTTCGACCATCGATTCACTCTACAATTTGTTTTACCCTTCTATTGCATCAGGCAGATTTCAAGTTTTTCTACATTCGAAAGCAAGGGTGTGACTTCCTCATTGCGTTTCCGTCATCCAGCTTGATTAGTGTATCTTATAATTTAGGATGGCCTTTGGGCTCTTCTCCAAAGGGTCCAATCTTCTCCGCAGATAGGAGTGACAGAGTTGATCTTGTCGTTAGCATTTAACAAGTTCTGCTTTTGTGTATTTGCCTCAAGGTTCTATAACAAAGAATAGTTAGTAAGGCAAGTATATGTCTTACATATGCAAACACGCAGTTGCAAAGGATGGTAATAATTGGAGCCGGAACAAATTCTTATTGACAGAGGACGATCAAACATTAATTTACAAGATCCATTTTATGTTGAAATAGAGGAGTTATTCTTTGAATTCTGAAGTTAAAAGTGGTTAGTGTGGAGCGTGTAACGATTGGTAACCTGCTAGGATGTCATTATAATGCACCCAAAAAACAAAAGTGCAAAGTCGTATTGTGGTATGCCTAAAACAGACAATATCTTTATCAGTAGGGGTGGGCAGCAGGATGAGACTGGGTACCCGTTTCGTCTGAAACGGGTACCCAGCCATTTGGAGAGAACTCCTTCCCATGTCTCAAACTCATACGGTTAATGGATACCCATTATCTATACAGGGCGGATAACGAGTACCTGTGGATATTCCATAAATTTAGGTGTTTTTTTTATTTGGGCTTTTTCTTTCGTTTCTTATTTTTTTTTTAAAACAATATAAGTACTGACGTTAGCATACTGATGAACAAGGAGCAATTTTGAGTTTGGTGGTGTAGTATTACGATCTGCATACCGTGCCACGTTAAGGTGGATTGAACTTATGAATTTTACTCTTTTGAAATATGGTCCAGAATCTGCTGCCAGACTTGTCTTGGTATTAAACTATTTCTTTAGAACCGGTACCATATCTATGGACTAACACAAATATCTCTCAATTTAAGCGTCGGGGACCCTATATGCACTTCCTACTTTCACCGTCTACTATTAATCACAACAGGAATATATCGCGCCCAAAACATTACCAGACAAGCTGCAGCTTGATGGTGAACAGAAATAAACATCAATAGCATATTGGTACCTTACAGATGGTCGCCTACTAGAAGTGATGTTAAAGCAGGAGAGCCATAATCTCTGTATGTGTCCTTTTTAGAATCTAAGAAGTCCGCATCTGATATGTTGCACCTGCATAATAATAAGGTAAATACAATTTATTAGCCAAACCTTTCATTTTAAACAAAATAATAGCCAAACCTTTTAAAAAACAATTTATTAATCAGACCGTTAACTTTCCATCCGGTCAACCGTTAGTTGAATCTGATGTGGCAAAATGTTAATAGTTTTTTATGAAGTGGAAAAATGTCAAATGTTTGACTATGCCACATGGATATTAGATCATTTTATCAAATAATTTTATTCACTGAAAAATAAATAAACTAAAGGGTAAATACAATTTAATAGCCAAACCTTTTCGTTCAAAACAAAATAATAACCAAACTTTTTCAAAAACAATTTAATAGCCAAATCGTTAAATTTCCGTCCGGTCAACGGTTAGTTGACTCTCACGTGGCAAATACATTTACACGTCAGCTTGTATATTTTTCTTTATTATTTTATCAATTTTTCCAATTATTTATTATTAATTGTATAAATTATAAAACTATAATTATAACAATGAAAGAAAAACAGAATCCCATCTCCCAACCCTTCAACTTCTTCCTCCCTTTCTCCTTCATCTTCCTCAGACCTCTATTGGAGGGATTAATTGGAAATAGAGTTCCTTCCTTTCCCCTTCATCTTTCGCCTACCTCAATAGGAGGGATTAATTAGGGGAGGAGGATGCGCAAGCGGGTGGCGGAGATGGGGAGGATGGCCCAAGACCCGCGAGGCATGCTCTTCTTGACGGAGATTTTCACGATGTACACCAGTGTGACGAGGAACACGGGTTGGAAGAGGCCGAGGGAGAGGGTGATGTGGAGCCTGCAGAAGCAGACATGCTGCGATATTGTTAGGGATTTGGGGAGGAAAGGGGAGAGGTAGCGACGACGGAAGGGGAGAGGCAGATCTGTTGCGGGATCGCCCATCTCGCCTCTGTCAGTCTCATTGTCCCGTCCCCTCGATCCCTGCTTGCCCCCATCGTCATTTTCCTCTGAATCTCTAGATCGACGACGGTCTTCGTGAGGCGTGAGGGGTTCCATCCTGCCGACAAAACTAGATCAGAGAAACGAAGGCAAGAGAGGAATCAAGAGGTTTTGGTGCTGCGAGCGTCGGCGACGCGGTGATGGCGTCGCGATCTGCTTCTTCCCTTCTCTTTTTCTCCGAAACGTCAGGGTGAGATCAACAGGACAACGTCTCGTCCAGATTAGGGAGAATCAGGAAGATCGAACGAAAAAATTGGGAGCGTTGTGGTGATGAATTTGGTTTATAGAAATAACATATTTTAATTTGACTATTATTATTTATTTATCAAATTTTAGTTTTAGATTGACAGTGAGGAGCATGAGATGAGCATCGACAATCTGGCTGATGCACTGAGTATGAGTTTTTACCCTCTGAAGCACCACTGTAGTGAGCCAGCCACCCCTCGCGGAGTCACCCTCAATAATTTCTACCACCAGATCTGTCTCCCCGAGCATAGAGCCGAGCCGATTGAGGCATGGCAGACCAATGCCACTACCTTGCTGTCATAGTGGCAAATCATACACCTCATTCTCACCCGGTCGGTCTGCCCAAGCATTACCTCTTCTCACAAGGTCACCAATACCACATGTCCACAATGATCCGACTTATGGCTCAGCTGCATTTCAGCTCGTGGTGGCTATGACCCTCGCCAAGTCGGTGAAGCACCCTCACTACCTATTTTGCGGCGCCCGAATCACCTTGCTAGCCATGTCCCTCCACATTGACCTCTCCGACCTCACGGGCATCTTTGACAGCGATGGCACCTTTTCCTCGACCAGAGACACCATTAGTCTCCGGGTGGTGCATTTAGAGGCTGACGGACCCTGAACACAAGCTGCAAAGCAGTGAATTTGGCGCCCAATTGGAGTTCACGGACGCGTTACAGTGTTCACGGCCATGAACTGGAGCCGTGAACACAACATGTTCCCTGTTTAAAAGCTGAGCTGAAAGGAAGAGTGGGGGGAGAGCCCATTTGAGTGAGAAAACCTTCTTCTGATTTCTAGAGAGAGAAACACAAACCAAAGAAGAAGAAGGATAGGATTTTTCTCCAAGGTGGATTTTGGAAAGATTTCCCTCAAGGAAAGTTCAACACAAGGGGCAAGAAGATTGGAAGCCTCCTCTAAGATGGTTTCTACCCCTTCTCCTTGTGTTTCTCCCATCTCTAGCATGGAGTAGAATTCTTTTTACTTGGGTGTTGTGAAACACTAACTCTACCATGCAGTTTTCTTTTATGTGAATTGAATGATTGTCATTGGGTATTATTTAATTCAAATGTTTGAGGTATTATTCATCTTGATTGTGCATGTTTGTGCTTAGCATCCTTAGGTTTGTGCATGTCTATGCTTAGCAACCTAAGGATTGTGCATGTCTATGCTTAGAAATCTAATAAGCCACTTAACCTAGTCTAGAGAGGGAAACCCCTCTTCCAAGGGAGTCTCATTTGAGTTGGTATCCCTAGGGTTTGTCAAGTCTTCTAACTAGGTTAATTTATGGCAAACCTCAATATTGGATTAGGCAATTTGGTTAGGCGCGATTAAGCCGTCCAACCCTTGGGTTAAATGAGGGACTAAATCAACCATTGATTGCCTAAACCGAAAGGGCCTAGTGACAGCCTATAATGCATGCCTCGGTTTAGCAATCATGAGCATGGTCTACGACCATATTTGCGTCCCCTAGCGGTTAGTGATCACCTTGCCCATAGCAATCCTTTCGGTTCACATACCATGGTAGTAGTTAGGGGGAAGAGACGCCAAAGTGATCCTTCCAGAAAAGAGCTTTCAAAACCATTCACCTTTGTCTTGTTTTACTTTAATTAGCAAAATTTTCAACCAAAACTTTGTCGCTAGATAATGATTCAAATGACTGAAGTAGGGGTAGACGGATCGACCTGGGTTGATATTTAAACATACTTATCCTGTACTGCACCTGACTAAGGTTTATACTTGGACCTTAGGCGGGAAATTATAGTGGTATTCGGGACGAGTCACTAACACTAAAACTAATAACCCTTCACTCACACACAAAGCTCCGCCGCAAAACCCCCATTATCATCCCTTCCCCATGCACAAGACCTAGCCTCTAAGGCAAAGCTCCCTTGTCAGTTTCAGTTGACAAGAAGAAAGCCCCAACCCCACTCAAATTGCATGGCAGGCAACGATAGCTACGTGTCGTCACCTCTGCAAGCCTCTAAGCGAATTACAACTTGGACCTAATTAAAGAGCTAGGGGAACTCATTCCCGAGTGACTCTTCTCTTACTTTAGAAAATCAGACAATTTACTGCTTTCTTTCTGCTTTAGTTTAAACTCATTTTCACTCAACTTTTTCCGCTAGATAATAGATAATCACAGAGTAGGCAATACATCTAGGCCTTGGGTTGACATTTATTACTTGATTCCACTATATTAAATTCCCATTCTGCGATTACACTTGGTCGCAGTTTGGTGTTGTGTCGTAGCGAGTCAAGTTTTTGGTGCCGTTGTTGGGGATTTCACTAGGTTATTGTAGAAACGTGAAAGTCTATTACTTTAGCATTTTCTTTACTGCATTCCCTCTCTTCCACCCGTGTGCCTTCATGGGTTGCTTTTGCTGCTTGTATGCAGGTAATGCATGACCCTTAGTTAGTGCAATTTGCTGCCTATGGATCAATAGCTTGAAAGAACTTGTCGTAACTTCGAGCAAGCTTTAAAGGCGATTGGCTGCGGAGGAAGTTCTAGCTCAACTGAAAATCAACTAGGAGGAGGAAATGGGTGACCCAAATGCTAACACTGCAGTTGTCCGCGATGAGCATACCATGGGCTATTACTAGACCCCCCGAGCCTCAGACATGAGGCCCTCCATCCAACATCCTCAAGTTGTTGCTAAAAACTTTGAGGTGAGCACCTCTATCATCACCATGTTGCGCGGCTCGGTGGTATTCCATGGGAAATCGGGTGAGTGCCCTCGCGCGCACCTGCGAAGATTCCACAAGTTGATTAATGGGATCAAGATCAACGGGGTCCCCGCATGATGCCATCTAGCTGATGTACTCCCCATTCAATCTATAGAGACAGGTCAAGATGTGACTGGACAACCGGCTACGGGATCGATCCCTACATTCACCAATCTAGCCAACAAGTTCCTGACCCGCTATCATCCTCCGTCTAAAATGGAGGATCTAGAGAAGGAGATCACCCATTTTCCCCAAGAGGAGGATGAAACTATCCTGGACGCTTGGTAGATATACACCAATCACTTTCTGAAGTGTCCCAATCATTGTTTCAATGATGCCTTCAAGGTAGGCACTTTCTATCAGTCCCTTTCCCCTGAAGATAAGTAGTTGATCGACTCGGTTTATGGCAGGAACATGTTAACTAAGACGCCAGCGTAGTTGAACCAGCTCGTTGAGGAAATGGTAGAGCAGAGGTATGATTGGGGAACAACCAGGAGGTCTCGGCGAGCACGAGGTCGGGGTGTGCACGCTATGGACACCCTGTCATTTGAGTTGGTGCAGGTTGTCTCTAAATTGGTTTTAGCTATGGTTGGCAATGGGATAATTCCTGGTGGCAGGGCAGCAGCAAGCCATGCACTAACAGCGGTGCGAGACTATCCACCACATGGTGGAAGACTGCCAAACGATGAGGGAGTCTACTACACCCCAAGAGCAGGTGGACTTCATCGGAAATGCTCGGCATTTCGAACCCCACAACAATACCTATAACGAGGGGTGGCGCCAACATCCTAACTTTTCTTGAGGTGGTAGTAATCCTAAGCCACCAGCCCTCCAGGGACCACCCGGCTTCCAGAGACTGCTATACCAACCCAGTCATGAGAAATTCTAGCAATATCAGGCTCTTTATCCAGCCAGACAGGAGCAGACTGTTCCTTAGCAGCACGTGCATTAGTTTCAACAGCCCGATACAGTCCCAACTGCCCCAGTACCGCGTGACCCTATGGCGGAGCTGCGAGATATTGTTGGCTCCCTTGCCAACTCTAATGCCTAGAAATTCAGTAACATGGAACGTTTCATGGAGAAGGCTTCGGGGCAGTTCCTAGATCTTTAAGCTGGTCAAAGGTCATTTGACGTCGGGTAGCGGAATACACAAGCTGTTTTGCGAGATATCCAGACCCAGTTGGGGAGTGTGGCTTAGGACGTACCACCAAGAGCTTTGGGTACCTTACCTGGTCAGACCATCCCGCACCCGCCAGACCTGAATGAGCATCGCAAGGCCATCACTACCTGGAGTGGCAGGGTGACTGCCGATCCACCTGTTTGAGGCAGGCAGGCGGTGGAGACCTGCTTAAGCACTTCCAGCAGATGAGAAAGATAGGGAAAAAGAACTTGAGGTGACTGTTCCTAAGCCATAACCAGTGGTGAAGGAGTAGTTCCTTATCTTCCTTTCCCTATACGGTTGCAGAAAGACTGACTGGAGACTGAGTTTGCCAAGTTTATGGCAATGCTGAAGCAGGTGAACATCAGTATGCCCTTCATGGAGGAATTGTAAAAAATGCCCAAGTATGCTAAATTCATGCAGGATCTGCTCACCAACAAGAGGAAGGTTGGGGAAATGTCGATAGTGATGGTTAATGAGGAGTATTTTGCCATCCTGGGGAATAAGCTACAAGAAAAGCGAAAAGATCTAGAAAGTTTTACTATTCCTTGCATGATTGGTAGTTTGCATGTAGGGAAGTCCTTGGCGGATCTAGGGGCTAGCATAAACGTAATGCCATATAAACTGTTTAAAAGGCTAGGCTTAGGTGAACCCAGTAACACTAGGATGAGCATTCAATTAGTTGATAGATCTATTGTGCACCCTAGGGGTGTTGCAGAGGCCTTGATAGTTGCAGTACGGACATTCTCTTATCCTATTGATTTTCTTATGCTGGATATTAATGAGGATGTGTCTTTAATTATGTGTAGCCCTTTTCTCGCCACCGCCAAGGCGCTGATTGATGTTAATGATGGTAAACTGATTTTGAGGGCTGGGGTGAACAAATCCCCTTTTCTTTTTCTGATAATATGAGACACCCCCAACTCCATGATGATTTAGATTACTACGATGTTATTGCCGATTTTGAGACCGCATTCGCCATCACGAGTGCGGGTATTGATGATTTCCTCGAGTGTTGTCTTTTGATAGTGGAATAGGCATCCCAGGAGCTGCAGTTAGAGGAGCAGCTAGTGGAGTTGAGGGCGGCTGCGATCGAGGGGCGAGAGCATCCATTCAAGCCAATCTCTATCTCGCCATGGATTGCCACATCCTTGGAGGAGCCACCAGAGCTGGAGCTTAAGCCCCTCCCCTCTCACCTGAAGTACGCATTTCTCCACGAGGGCAATAAGCTCCTAGCCATTATCAGCTCGGATCTGACACCCGAGCAAAAGAGCAGGCTAGTGGCTCTGCTGGAGAAGTATGCCCGGGACATGACATGAAAGATTATAGATATCAGAGGCATTAGCCCATCCTTCTGCTCCCTCAGGATTCTGATGAAGGATGTGGTTAAGCCTATCCGGCAGCCGCAACGGAGATTGACTCCTAACTTGGATGAGAGGTCCGAGCAGAGATCGTGAAGCTTATGGATTCTGGGATCCTCTTTGCTATATCTGATAGCAAGTGGGTCAGTCCCACTCAGGTGTTACCGAAGAAAGGCGGGATGATAGTGGTCCCGAACGGGAAGAACGAGTTGATACCAATGTGGACCGTGACTGGTTGGAGAGTCTGCTTCGACAATCGGCGCCTGAACGACGCCACCAGAAAGGAACATTTCCCACTTCCTTTCATTGACCAGATGCTAGAGAGGTTGGCGGGACATGAGTTCTACTCCTTTTTGGACGACATGTCTGGATATTTCC